CCACCCCCCTCCTACCCCCATCCGAGCCGTTGTCGGAGGGCCCGACATTCTGGCCCTCCTCGGTGTGTCAAATTTGCCATACCGGTGTGGCATTCTGGTCTGCGATTGGGGTTAAACGTACCCCACCAACCTAAGAGAACTGCGATCATGTTCACTATCCTCGGCGGAAAGAGGCTTCACCGCAGATTAATGAGCCCTGACCCTTCCGTGGCCAATCCTAGTGAGACCCTACCGCCGATTTTTTTTGTGCAGGGTTTCGAACAATGGATTTAAAATAAGTAAATAAATAAATAAAAACATGTATCTGTGAGGCTCCCATCGTACCGGGCTAACTTTGGAAGGACATGCCACTTGATTTTATTTTATTTTATTTTTTTGCAGAAAGCTCAGCTATTCTCGATAATAAATAAAAATAGTAATAAAAGAAAGTCAATAAGAGCCTAAGTGACGACGGATGCACTTAGGCCAAGCCTGAATCTAGACCAGAGGGTCGCCGTCGGGCCTATATTCGTGCTACCAGGGTTTGAGACCAACTCCACCAACAAGAGTATCAGACCTGGAATTTGTGCCTGCGGTAGTACTGCTGGGCCTGGTTTACTTAGGTGGTGCCTTCCCCGTTTTCCAAGGACGAGTACGTGTGTGCTCGGGTGCCACATGTCGATGGGCACAATTGCCAGCTGTTGGTCCAGGAAAACGGCCACGGCCACTCGCCCGTTACAAGAGGGACCAAGGTTTGACTTTTGAGGCTCGTTCCGACTAAGGCCGCGCAGCAGACAGAGAGCGACTTGCCGGGTAGCGAAGGACACACACTCATGTGCCACTTGGCGACCTGCTGAACAGCCACCTGGCAGTTACAACAGCTAGGGTTTTGACTTCTTCGCTCTCTCGGTCGGCCGCCAGGTGCTGCGTACACCCAATCACAGGACAACCAACAATTGGGAGCAGCCCTAAGCGAAGGCTGAGCTCACCGCCGCTTGCTGGTCCAATCAACTTGAGTATTTTGTGATTTCGAAATTAATAAATTAGTAAACTTCGGTGATTGGGATCATGGATAATCACCCAATCACGGGACAACCAGCAAGCGGGAACAGCCCTAAGCGAAGGGTGAGCACACCGCCGCTTGCTGGTCCAAGCGATCATAGTATTTTGTAATTTTGAAATTAATAAATTAGTAAACTCCTGTGATTGGGATCATGGCTGATCGCCCAATCACGGGACAACCAGCAAGCGGGAGCATCCCTAAACGAAGACCGAGCTCGCCGCCGCTTGCTGGTCCAAGGAATCAGAGTATTTTGTAATTTTAAAATTAATAAATTAGTAAACTCTCGTGATTGGGATTATGGCTGATGACCCAATCACGGGACAACCAGCAAGCAGGAGCAGCCCTAAGCGAAGGCTGAGCTCGTCTCCGCTTGCTGGTATAAGCATTCTGAGTATTGTGTAATTTAGAAATTAATAAATTAGTCGACTCCAGTGATTGGGATCATCGCTGATCACCCAATCACGGGATAACAGCAAGTGGGAGCAACCCTAAGTGTTTTACTCTAACTACCGCTTGCTGGGTCACACATTTCCCATATTTTTGTAAATTTTATAAATTAATTAGTTAGTAAGATCCCGCGACTGGGATCACGACTGGTCACTCAATCACGGGACAACCAGCAAGCGGTGCCCAGACCCTAAGTGAAGGCCACGTGTTGTACGCCGCAAGGATGCTAAAGAAAATAAAACGATTTATTTAATTAGATCTAGTGATCAACTTATAATTGGCTGATTACACAAGCACGCTGTGTGAATGATGCCTAGACCTTAAGTTAAGGCCGCGTATGTTCAAGGTGCCGCCAATGCAAAAGATAACATTAAATTAATTTGATATATTCATTTACCTATTTAATTTTGGTTGTGTGATTAACCATTGTTTGGCTAATCACTTCTCAGCTCATCAGCGACACACTTGCCATAAGTAAAGACCCCGTGTTGTATTTAAGCAGGGGCGAAACTACATAATGGGCTGTGTTTAAACAGGGAGTGGAGAATGATACACCCCCGCGTTGTATATGAACAGAGCTAGTGCGAAGCTGTACCCCAGTGCTGTATATGAATAGGATCAGTGTAGAGTTGGACCCCAGTGCTGTATACGAATAGGACCAGTGCCGAACTGCACCCCCGTGCTGTATACAAACAGACCCCCTGTGTCGTACAAGAACAGGGGTAGTGTTGTGTTGCGCCCTACATTGAATCTACACTAGGGCTGGTCATCGTAGACTACTGAGAGTACTAATCTGAGGCAGATTGTAAGAAATCATTAACAAAGTCAAAAGGAGAAAGAAGACAGTAGACCCTCATGAAAAGCAGCAGACACGAGACAAGTTCAGTGCACAACAATCCTTTTGAGTTCAAATTCAAGTGCAGTTTACTATTTTGAGCACAATTTCGAGTTTTAACGAACTTTAATATGTTCTCAATGGGTCAATCAGTGCACAACAGATACACTCCATTCCCATTAAGCGGGGCAGGCAAGCTCGATCATTTTGTATATCTTACATTAGCAGTTTTCACTACGAGTCTTTGTAAAGTATCCGATCTGTTTCGGATCAGGCCTCAACAAAATCGTATATCTATTTTCAGGTCAAATTTCAACTAAATCTCATGGCAGTTCTCGCATCAGGTTTCAGTGAGATTTTAGAGTGGTTTCGAGTTGATTGTAAGTCCAGGTTCAGTGAACTCGGTACAATCTCAGTAAGTTTAAATCGTTCTCAACAAGTTCAGCCCAGACTTAGCAAACTCAGTCTTATCTTCGTAAGTTCAGATCGGACTCACCGAAATTAGTTTCACCTCATCAAATTCAAATAAGTTCCCAGTAAGTCAAAACAAGTGAGATTCAGGGAACTCGGTTGAGTTTCAAGAGCTCATTTTGGATTCAATAACCTCAGTTCAGTTCTCAACAATTTCAGTTTAGTTTTCAACACATTGATTTCATATCTGAGCGTGGCTTGTTCAGTTTCCGTAAATTCAATCCAGTCTCATTTTAAGTAAGTTCAATGTTGGTTAATCAATCAGTAAGCTCAGTTCAGTCTCAGTGATCAGGATCTACTCTCAACAGACTACGTTTTCATCAGATGTAGTCAAGTCCTAGTGGGAGGTCCCGATGGTAGCAGCGACGACGCTGGTCACAGCGGATAGTCCCGGTGACAGCAGCGATAATGCTGGCCGTAGAGGGATGTCGCGATGGTAGCAGTGACAACGCTGGTCACAACGGACAGCTCTGGTGACAACAACGAAAATGTTGGTCACAGCGGGAGGTCCCGGTGGTAGCACCGACAACGCTGGGCACACCGGACAGTTCCGGTGACAACAACGATTATGCTGGCCGCAGCGGGAGGTCCTAGTAGTAGCGGCAGCGATGCTGGTCACAACATGCAATCTCGGTGACAACAGCAGTAGTGCTGGTCATAGCGTGCTCTCCTGGTGACAGCAACACAACACCGTGAGTGTCATCATTATTCAGCTAAACCGATCATGTGACAACTGAGTAGTCTCAACATCAGTGGTATTTGAGGACAGCGGACTCAAGAGAGGATTTTTTTAAGCATGAGAAAATTTGATATCTCGAGCAGAGCAGACTCATGACTTGAGCACCGTCATCAGATATAGATCGCAGCGGACCTTCTCATAAGTACAAGTCAACAACATGCGGAATCGCTCAAGGATCACTGGACAACATACTAACCATTGTCAGACCCCTGAGTATGACATGATCTTCCGAGGGGAGAGAGAGAGCTGACTACAGAGATCATGGTTCTAAGTTCTGTCTGTTCGATTTGTGACCTTGATGCGATAAAGACCTCTC